CACACTTGTGTAAACTTTTGACAAAGTCAATGGGGAAGATAGATTCACTTAACAACCAGGTTACTAACATCAATTATAGTGATTCACAACGTTAACAACTGCGGCAAGAATAGAGCAAAACTCACTTAACAAATGTATCACTTAAGAACAGAAATTTTGGGCTCAATTATGGTTGTAAGTTGAGGACTATCTGGACTTCACAGAAAAAATAGCTGAAGCTTGAAACCAACTTCCAGCACAGGTAGTGGACCAGTCATCAGTAACTGAGTTTAAACATGCTTGGGATAATTTTTTGTCATCCAACAAAAAATAAAATAAAATAAAAATTAATGAGAGGCCCACGGTGCTCTCTGAGCTTGGTTGTTTTCTTGCAGACGTGTCATTACCCAAACAACCTGATGACGTTACCTAGTTGGGTAATGAAATGTCTGTAAGAAAACAACAAGCTCAAGAGAGTATCAAGAAACCCTTCATTTCAACACTGAGCTACAAATATTTTCTTTTATTAATAATAATAATTAAAAATAATAAATAAATCAATGAATTAAAAAGAAAACAAACAAAAAACCCTCAAGAGACCACTAGGTCTTTTTCTGCCATCAATTTTCCATGTTTCTATGAAATAGGAAGGGGAAGGAACTATTTTAAAAAGAAATCATACTGGGTCTTGGAGTAGAGGAAAGGTAGCATCTTCAAGTTGAGTTTGACTTATAGTACAGTTTTTTTGATGATTGTGTGGAAGTGACTTGCCACTGCATTTGTGGATTGTTTTTCGGTTTTCCTGTGTGTAGCCTCCAGCCCTAGGAATATCTGGCAGTGTCCCATTGAAGTACCAACCAACCAGATCTGACCTTGTTTAGCTTTTTCAAGGTCAGGCAAGATTCCCCCCACCCCAAAAAATATATTATAGAATAGAATTCTTTATTGGCCAAGTGTGATTGGACACGCAAGGAATTTGTCTTGGTGCAAATGCTCTCGGTGTACATAAAAGAAAAGATACATTTGTCAAGAATCATCAGGTACAACACTTAGTGATAGTCATAGGGTACAATAAGCAATCAAATCATACTAGGAAACAGTCCTTATAAATCGTAAGGATACAAGCTACAAAGTTACATTCATACAGTCATATGTGGGAGGAGATGGGTGATAAAGAGTGATGAGAAGATTAATAGTAGTGCAGATTTTGTACATAGTTGGACAGTGTTGAGGGAATTATTTGTTTAGCAGAGTGATGGCGTTTGGGGAAAAACTGTTCTTGTGTCTAGTTGTTCTGGTGTGCAGTGCTCTATAGCATCGTTTTGAGGGAAGGAGTTGAAACAGTTTATGTCCAGGATGTGAGGGGTCTGTAAATTATTGATTATATATTGAAATATTGGATACAGTGTGACCATCCTGGCTTTGTCTCTGCCATACACACTAAAATATAAAACAAATAACATTATACTCCTCATGCATTGCTAATTTATATTATTATTCTATCCAGTATGTACATTTATATTTACAGCATAAAACCTGGTACATTGCTAATTTTATACAGCCATTTTATCCACTATACTCTATTGTATTTACCTAGATAACATCAGACTTCAGTTCTACAAATCCTCATTATTTCCTGATCAGGCAAGATTGACTACGTGCTCTGTTACCTTGCTGACCCTTTGGGGGTAGAACTGACCCAAGGGTTCTAGAGGTTGAGAAGAAGACTAGTGGCCTATTATTTGTTATCGACCTTGCAGAATAGAATAGCTGCTGTAGGGTTGTAATTTTCCTCCATCTGTTTAAGCAAAATGGCACTGATATGTTTTAAAGGAGAATGTTTGTAGCTCAAGGTTGAAATGAGGGGTCCTTTGGTTGTCAGCGTTCCAGGGAACCTCCATTCCAACCAGCAACTCCGAGACAAGCATAATCTCAAAAGTACCTTTATTAGAATAGCACCTGGCACATCTGTGAAATTTCAAAACTAAAAGTTTCCCGGACTTCCCACCTTTTCCCTACCTACAAACCATCCCCTTTTCATTCATCATCACCTCACAGGAACCAATCCCAGAGTAAGTTCCTTTTTGTTTCTGCGCCACACTCCATGACCTTGAACTAACAAAAGAATTCTATTTTGTCTGCTTAGAGCTACTCAATAAAAATCATCCCCTCCCACTTTCTCAAGCTATGTGGCAGCGATGAATAAGGATTCCAAAGCTGACATGAGTGCTCTCTGAATTTGGTTGTTTTCTTGCAGATGTTTCATTTACCTTTAACTAGGTAACGTCATCGGGGCTAGTCCTGATGGGTCATGAAATGCCAGCAAGAAAACAACCAAGCTCAGAGAACAGCAAGGACCCCGCACTGATATATTTGTTCTGAAAAATATTTTCCTGAATTTTTCATCTTTTTAACAATTCTGAATATCTTTAGAATAGAGTAGAGTAGAATAGAATAGAATAGAATAGAATAGAATAGAATAGAAGTGTTGGAAGGGACCTTGGAGGTCGTCTAGTCCAACCCCCTGCCTAGGCAGGAAACCCTACACCACTTCAGACAAATGGTTGTCCAATCTCTTCTTAAAAGCTTCCAGTGTTGGTGCATGCAGCTTCTGCAGGGCAAGTTGTTCCACTGATTAATTGTTCCAACTGTCAGGAAATTTCTCCTTAATTCTAAGTTGCTTCTCTCCTTGGTTAGTTTCCACCCATTGCTTCCTATGCTGCCTTCTGGTGCTTTGAAGAATAGCTTGACTCCCGCTTCTTTGTGGCAGACCCTGAGATATTGGAAGACTGCTATCATGTCTCCCTAGTCCTTCTTTTCATCAGACTAGACATATCCAATTCCTGCAACAGTTCTTCGTATGTTTTAGCCTCCAGTCCCCTAATCATCTTTGTTGCTCTTCTCTGCACTCTTTCTAGAGTCTCAACATCTTTTTTACATCGTGGCGACCAAAACTGGATGCCATATTCCAAGTGTGGCCTTACCAAGGCATTTTAAAGTGGTTTTAACACTTCACGTGATCTTTAATTAAGGTTTAAAAACAGGGAAAATGAAAATGAATCATTCAATTAAAAAAAAAAAGCTCATTGGAAAAAATTTGCAGAAAGGGCAACAGTACCATGAATTACAGCTTTCTCGGTCCAGCTTTGAGTTGTTGAAGAACTAACTAGACCACACGAAAATGGCTCTCCCTGTTTCCAGACCTTTTCGTGCCTCTGTTATTTCTGTTCTCAGTCATTAGCAGTCACCTGACTTCCCTTCAAAATAATGATAGATGAAGCCTGGCCCATGTGATACACCTTGAGGCTGCTTGCATGTAAGTGTTGGAATAAGGAGAGAAATGCCACTTCAGCACCTATACCTGCTAATGGGATGCCTCTTTCACGAGTCAATCAAAAGGTGAAGGCACAACCTCCAAAGGCAGAACATATTGTGATATTACAAACAGGGAATGTTTGTGGCATGATTTAAGTGCAAGCAGGGACACAGCCAGACAAAAACAAGCCACAATGCCAATATCAAGGATCTGGGTAAACATATATGTCATTAGCAAGTACTGGAAGCTCCTGAGGCTCAGGGCCAGCCACAAATAAACGAACAGGGAGTTCCATAACCCAGGCACTAATATGAGGAATGGCTGTTCTGGATTCTTATTTGGTGAATCATGAGGCAATGTGACAGTCTCAAGAACATTTCCACCAGGACTGGGCCTGATATGATAGCAGTGTTCCAACCAGGGGTGGGATTCAAAAATTTTAACAAACGGTTCTGTGGTCGTGGCTTAGGTGGTGGACGTGGCTTGATGGTCAGGTGACTGGGTGGACGTGGCTTGGTGGTCATGTTATTGGCTGGGTGTGGCCAACTCAATATCACATTGAGGCACGCATCTCCTCGCCTGCCTCTCGTGACTGTGGGGATGCTGCAACAGCCGTAAGTGTGAAAAATGGTCATAAGTCACTTTTTTCAGTGCCATTGTAACTTTAAATGGTCATTCCACACAAGCAAAGTACCAGCAAAGGAGGGGGAAAAAAACTCCAGAGAAGTTCCAGAGACAGGAAGTCTAGTCCTGCCAAGAATGTAATAAGGGTTAACAGAGAGGCAGTTTCTGTAAGCAACACCAGAATGTTTCCTTCCTGCCTTTCTTACAGGATTAGGCCAGTAATTTCTTCTAACACCCGGTTCTCCGAACTGCTTAGAATGTTAACAACCGGTTCTAGTGAATAGGTGAGAACTGGAAGAATCCCACTCCTGGTTTCAATATCTAAAAGGGGCTGCCACAAAGAAGAGGGGGTCAACATATTCTCCAACACACCTGAAGGCAGGACTTGAAGCAATGGTTGGAAACTAAGGAAGGAGAGAAGCAACCTAGAACTAAGGAGAAATTTTCTGACAGTAAGAACGATCAACCCGGCTTGCCTCCAGAAGTTGTGGGTGCCCCAACGCGAGGGTTTTAAGAAAATACTGGAGAATTATTTGTCAAAAATAATATAGGGTTTCCTGCTTGAGCAGGGGATTGGATTAGAAAAGCCCTGGGATCCCGGCCAACTCTGTTATTCTGTTATTTATAAATTATTATATACGTCTATTGCTACATTAATATCATTTAACATTATAAAACAGTTCCAATCCATTACTTTTTGTATATTTTGTGCATTAAATATTAATCTAGCTTCAGTTCTTACTTATTTTTAATCTACAGCACACTCCCATAGATACAGTATTACATTTTGTGCATTCTGTATAACCTGTGTCAGCTCTTAGCAACCTCACCGATTCCTTGTTTATTTTTTCATTCCCGATAAATAGAAGAAGACATTCTAATATTTTCCCCCACATCCCGGTGGGTCATCTTGTGCACCCCTGGTAAGTGCGTACCCCACTTTGCAGACAGAGTGTCCTGTTAGAACAGGGGGTTGGACTAGAAGACCTCCAAGGTCGCTTCCAACTCTGTTATTCTGTCTTTGCGGACGGTCAAGTACCTCCAAGGAATACGTTACTGTATTAAAATGTCGTTCTCCTCCATCTAGATGTTGAGTCCCCTCCAGAAGTGCGGCTCGGAAGGCTGCCTGCTAGATTGTGACTTCCTGCCATGGCACCGGAGCACCCTTCGGAAGCAACACCAGAGCTGCGAGGATCCGGAGCGGAGGAACGTCTGTGAAAAGCAGGAGAAACCTTCCACCCCAAGCATTCGTTTAGATGACACCGAAGTGGTCAACTGTCTTCAACTCCCACTCCAAGACCCGGGAGGGTTCTGGCGGTCTCGAAGTGAGGGACGTTTGGATCAACAAGGGGTACCATGCCAAAGGGGAACTGAGGAAGGGGACAAAACAGGAAGTGGGTGGAGCTTGCCGTCCCCCAAATCTTTGAGGAAAGAGCGGCAGCTGTGCGAGAAAGTGGCGGCAGCAAAGCAACACCTGAGGAATTTCTTTGGAGGATCCAACAAAGTCAGTGGAACTTCTTAATGCTTTCTTACTAACCCTCTTACTAATGGTCTGTAGAGATTCTCAGTCATCCAGGACATGGTTGTCCCCAGGGTGCTTTTTCAGGAGGCAACTGGACTTCCTTGTTTCTTCTTTGAAGACGTTTCGCTTCTCATCCAAGAAGCTTCTTCAGCTCTGACTGGATGGTGGGGAATGGAAGGATTTATACTCCTTGCAGACAGCTGGCTATTTGCATTCTTTGTAGAGAGTCGCTGAGGCCACTTGGAGGCTTATCTGTGTCCTCAACGTCATCCAAGTAGTGCTGCTGGTTCCTGCAGTCTGCATTCTTTCCCTCTGGAAATCCGTTCCTACTCCCACACCATTCAAAGGGTGTCCATCCCAAATTGTATAGCTAAAAGTCTGTAGAGATTCTCAGTCATCCAGCCATGGTTGTCCCAAAGGTGCTTTTTCAGGAAGGCAACTGGACTTCCTTGTTTTTTCTCTTTGAAGATGTTTCACTTCTCAGCCAAGAAGCTTCTTCAGCTCTGATAGGACGACCAGCTGTCTGCAAGGAATATAAATCCACCCATTCCCCACCATCTTGTCAGAACTGAAGAAGCTTCTTGGATGAGAAGCGAAACGTCTTCAAAGAAGAAACAAGAAAGTCCAGTTGCCTTCTGAAAAAAGTACCTTTGGGACATCTTACTAATGTTTTCTTTCTCATCTTTCACTTCCCAAAAATGCAAGCCCGGATCTTTTTTTAAAAAATTTGCCTATCCGTTTTTTTTTTTTTTTTACTTTGCTTGTCTAAACATCCAAGTGTCTTTATTCCCACTGGTTTTAATCTCTGGAATTTGCTGCTGTGAAAAATGTATCCGGTTAAGATTAAATAACTCATAATTAATGATCAAGGAAAGGTTATGGTGAAGGGCCTGGGATACAGAGCTCTTGGGGTTTCCCCTGCAGAGGCTAGTGAATTACTCAGAGGGACCGGGAAGTTTTATATATAAATTTTTTATATATAAATTTATATATATATAGATATATATATGTGTGTGTGTGTGTGTGTGTGTGTGTGTGTGGCATTCAACTTTGTTCGGGTATTTTCCCATGTCATTGTAATTGTGCTTTTAAAGTTGTATCTCAGAATCTCATCTGCCGTCATCAGGCTCGAAACGTTGCTACAACTTTAAAAGCACAACTGCAATGACGTGGGAAAATACCTGAACAAAGCTGAATGCCATACATGTAAGTACCCGTGAAAACTTAAGAAAATACACACACACACACACACACACACACACACACACATATATATATATATAAATATATATATATATATTTTATATAAATACTCTTGCCATTTTCCAGCCTCCCTTCCCCCACCTGATTTTGTTTCAAAACAGTGTTTTAGTTGTTGTTGTTATTGTTGTTGTTGTTTTAAAAAAAATAAATAAACAAGAAGCCGACATGCTGCAGAACAAAGGATTCCCCTCCAGCAGCATCTTCATCAGCCAAAATGACCATGTCCTTCAAGGATTCATAGCAAAGAAAATTTGTGGCATGGGTGTCGGTCAAGGAGAACATTTATAGCTCAGTTCTGTGGAGATTCTCAATCATCCAAGTCGTAGTTAAACAGATTAAACAGATAAACAAATAATCAGAGTTGGAAGGGACCTTGTAGGTCATCTAGTCCCACCCCCTGCCCAAGCGGGAGACTCTACACCATTTCTGACAAATGCCAGTCCAATCTCTTCTTGAAAGTCTCAAGTGAAAGTCTCACCTTGTCCCAAAGGTGCTTTTTTTTTTTTTTTCAAGAGGCAACTGGACTTTCTGGCTCTTGAGCTGAAGAAGCTTCTTGGAGGAGAAGCAAAACGTCTTCAATGGAAAAAAAAAAACAGAAAGTCCAGTTGACTCTTGGGAAAAAAAAAAAAGCACCTTTGGGATTTATAGCTCAGGGCTGAAATTTGGGTGCTCCCCGAATGTGGTTGTTTTCTTACTGACGTTTCATTACCCAAATTAGGTAACGTCTTCGGTGCTAGCATTCCCATTTGCCTGCCTTTGTTGGATGCTTGTATGTGCTACCAATAAAGGAGAATTCAGGGTTGAAAGGAGGAGTCCCGGGCTAGCACTGATGATGTTACCTAGTTGGGTAATGAAACGCCTGCAAGAAAACCACCAGGCTCAGGGAGCACCAAGGACCTAGAAAAGAGAGAAAGGTAATTGGAGGTTGCAGAGAGCACCCCTGAAGCCGCTGAGGGTGGCAGTAAGCCATTTCACAGTGCACCTTCGGGCAAATGTGTCTTTTCGCGCCAGCCATATACACCACGCCACCGGCAATGATGCGACGAGTGGCAAAGCACCGTGTCTAACGGGTTGGGGAGATGCTCATGTCGTGCCACCATCCCAAAGGTATCCCCAAACAGGGTTTCTTTAGAGAGACAAAGTAGAGATCTCAGTGGGAAGTAGCCACTGCAGGGAAGGGGATCCAAAAAGGCAAGATGGTAGTCACGATGCTTGTGATCGTAGCCCTGCCTTTATACCTGCATGCAAAATTAACAGCAAAAGGGAGGAGGCTTCCATTTTGCTTTCCTGAGGACACCTACCTCAGGAGATGCCAATGGAAAAAAAAAAAAACATTGTCTAAAGGAAAAACAGGTGTAGTCCCAGAGCAAAGAAAGGAAGAAAAAAACAATTGGATTTCCACTTGCATCATTTCCTGTCGTGCAGAGCTTTGAGCTTTCAGGTCCCCAATGAAAACCCTCTAATTGAAAAAGCCATCATTTACAAGCCGGAGTGTGTGTATGTGTGGGTGTCATATAAGCGGAGGAGCCATTCTGCCCCTGGGACTCTATAGTTCTCTGCCCCATTTTATAGTGGCATTTGTTGTAGGCCTACAATGGCCGGTCCTTTGTGAAGCAATACAGTTCCTTTCGATCACTGTTGTTGACTCGAGCCAGTTTGTTGCCAGAGGTACGAAGTTCAAATTGTATTTTCCCATAACTGCAAGAATAAAAGACGAGATGCTTCAATCTTACACAGAGTAGAACTAAGTCATTCATGACACAGTTCATAGGTTAAATGAACCCACAGACCAAATTGGTTCCTTAACTAACTGATCAGTCTAAAGGAAAAGTTGTAGAGCCATTGTTCTATAAAGTAAGTTCCCAGCTGGATAATAAGAGTTGGAAAGAGACCTTGGAGGTCTTATAATCCAACCCCCTACTCAGACAGGAGACCCTACACCACTTCAGACAAATGGTTATCCAACATCTTTTTAAAATCTTCCAGTGTTGGAGCATTCACAACTTCCGGAGGCAAATTGTTCCACTGATTGATTGTTCTGACTGTCAGGAAATTTCTCCTTAGGTTGCTTCTCTCCTTGATTAGTTTCCATCCACGGCTTCTTGTCCTGCCTTCAAGTGCTTTGGAAAACAGGTTGACCTCCACCCTCTTTATGGCAGCCTCTCAAATATTGGAACACTGCTATCTTTTTTTTTTTTCTTAAATTGGCCTATGTGGATCATAATTTCTTGCCAGAAGAAAAGCGTTGCAATATTGCTTTTAATTTTGAACTGCAGAATCTCGATCCAAGGTGGGATTCTTTGCAAGATTTAGAAAGCTGAGTTTCTCTAAAGAGTTTGGGAAAGCAGAGGAGTGCGGCGACTAACATTTCTGCTTGAATGGATTGGCACAAATTTCTATGCTCCTGTCATGCCCCTGGTGGAGACTGACTCTGAGGGAGAGGAGGAATAGCCGACAGGGAGTGGAAGGGTGGCTTCAGAGATGGTGGAGGAGGCTGGGGAAGGGCAGAGGCCGGCTGGGCAGTCAGAGGAGGACCCAGGCCCATCCCCTCTCCATCCTAGGGCACGCAGGGAGGAGAGGATAAGGGAGAGATGTGGTCTCCTCGGGAGGAGAGGGCCTTGATCCTCTTCATGGGCTGCAGGTGTGAGAACTGCATAAGAGTTTGGGCCTGCATTCTGACAAACACTGGAAACAAAGCGTGTTTTATTTTGGTCTGAAGTTATCTTGGTTGGCGTCCTTCCAACAGACTGTGCCTTGTTATCTCCTTGAATTTGGTAAATACTTCTCCTGTTCCATTGTGGAAATTTCATCATTGTAGTTTGTTTTTTTTATTTCACCTCTACCTGCTCATTAAATTCGGACTGTACTGCTTTCTTTGGAAGACGATTTTTGAGTACATTTTATCTCCAACTGAGTATTATTGAACAGAGGGGCCAAGTTGGAGGCATTCAAGGACATTTATTTACGTTTTGGATTTTGTTACGTTTGTGTTACACTCTGGGTCATCCCACCCCCTCCCAAGCAGGACTGAGATTGCTTGATTGCTGTGGTTTTCTGAAAATTAATGCATTGTATGTCTATGAAGATGCTCAGTCAGTCATCCAGGCCATGGTTGTCCCAAAGGTGCTTTTTTCGGGAGGCAACTGGACTTTCTTGTTTTGTTTTCTTTTGAAGACGTTTCGCTTCTCATCCAAGAAGCTTCTTCAGCTCTAACTGGATGGTGGGGAATGGAAGGATTTATACTCCTTGCAGACAGCTGGTCATTTGCATCCTTTTTAGAGAGTCGTTGAGGCCACTTGGAGGTTTATCTACATCCTGAGGGTCAACCGAGTAGTTCAAATGGGTGTAGAGCTGAATTGCTGAAAGGACTGCGTTGTTGACTGGAGATAGATGATGCCATAGGCCTTCCTCTCTGTAAATCCTTCCATTCCCCACCATCATCCAGTCAGAGCTGAAACTTTTTGGATGAAAAGTGAAACGTCTCTGAAGAAAAACAAGAACGTCCAGTTGCTTCTGGAATAAGTACCTTTGGGACAAGGCATTATGTGCATGAAAAAAGTGGGTGGGGACAAGCTTTTCCTCAGAGGAAATTTTGGGGCAAGGGGAAAAGACTTTCCTATGTTTTTCATTCCCTAAGCTAATAGATGTTTACAAGTTTTAAGGCTCATGTTTCTCACCTGACAGTGGCAGGAAATGATGCAGTTTTCTGCAACTTTGATCCAAAATATATTCAAGAGGCTGCCTGCAGTTGCCCGTCTCTGTTCTGGAATGAAAGGTAGGGAGGTCTTGAGGTCCCAAGAAATTTAGGGCTGTGAAAAGCTTATAAGCCACGTGATTCTCAGTAAATTTCAGGGGAGGCCCCCGCTATGTGTGAATTGTCACAAATGAGCACTAAATACAAATTCTGAACATACACATTTTGGTAAATGGCTGGAAGAGCTCTCGTTCAGAATGTTTGAAAAAGAACCTCATCCACAAGGATTTTTCAAATGGAGACCAGCAAGATATTAATGCTTATTTCTTGTATGGTTTAATGTAGGGGTCGGCAACCCACAGCTCTGGAGCCGCATGTGGCTCTTTCATCCCTCTGCTGCGGCTCCCTGTCGCTAGTCAGTAAAAGGAAAAAGAATGCTGTGCTAGAAGGAGACTTTATTGGGGAGGGGGAACCGGACTTCTGGTCGGCTCCAGAATTGAATGGGGTGGGGGCTTCTGGTTAGGACCTTTGTAGCTCTTTGAGTGTTTAAGGTTGCTGACCCCTGGTTTAATAGGTGAGCAAATATATTTGATTTCCCAGTGTAGATAATCCTCAATTTACAACTGTAATTAAACCAGGAATGGCAGTTGTGGTTGTTAAGCAAGTCACCATGTAACCAGGTTTTATAACTTTTTTTTGTGGCAACCGTTAAGCATATGCTGCGGTTGTTACCATGACTCCATTTTACCCAATTCACTTTTTGGGGGGAGGGGAATCAGAAGTAAATGCTATTAAACTAGCAAAAAAAACCATTTGAAAATCATGGTCACACAATTGCCGGGTGTTGCAAATAGCTGTAAAGGCAAACCAGTTGCCAAGAGTCCAAAATGTGATCACGTGACCGCAAGGTAGTTTGCGTGCCACCATCGTAGCTCTGAAATCAGGTAGCTTTTGAGGAAGTTATGGTTGACTGAGGAATTCTGGGAGTTGAAGTCCCCCCATCTACAAGGGGCCAAGGTTGAGAAACACAGCTTTAAACTCTGATTAGAGAGAATTTTCAGTGGATATTTTGAAAGCATTTCTTTTCTTTCCTGTCAAGTTTTTTATTTTATATTTCTTATATGCATATCAGTGCGTGAACAGTGTGGTATCTGGGTACCATACATTTAGTACAGATAAACGTCATGTTGTTACTCATTACATTTCATTTTCATCGTTTCATGTTATTTAAACATATCTAACACTACCTCCATTCAATTTCTAGACCTCCCTCTTGTTATTATATTTATCTTGTTACATTAAAGTATGTATATCGTTGTTCCCCTCTTATTTCTGTTTCTGTTCTTTCTTATTTTTCCCATTGGTTCATTTAAGCATAAATAACATTTTTTTCACCATTATTTATTCTCCCGTCTTATCTTTAATATTTTAAAAATTACTCATTTTTCCACCATGCTTTCAATATCCAAGACTACTAATCAGTCCAAATATTAACAGTCTTCAACCAATCCTGGGTGTACATCTCCAACCCCCCACCATTTCTAACCCTTAAAAGTTTGAAAGCATTTTATTTCAATGGGTCTCTACAGAGTTGGAGGGAGGCGTGTGATTTTCTCCGTCCTTGAGCTTGCTCTGTGCTTGGACAGCCATTGTTCTGAACCCACTTTGTGTCTTTTCAAGGCCTGGAAAATCTGAACAAAGCCTGAAGTTTGTCTGTGACAGCCTACTTAGTTTATTATTAATTGTGTAGTACTGTGTCTATCTCTTTTCAGGGTTTATTTATTTAAAGGAAGCATGTCCTGCCCTTCAGCCAGATAAGTAAAGATAAATAAAGAGACGCAGTTCCTGCCATTAGACTAACTATTTAAAAAGGCATGACATAAAAAGGAGACAAGGGGAGCGTGGTGGTGGAAGTATTTGCTTTCCCTGATTTATTGCCAAGAGCCATTTTCCTCTAAAAGACTTGGAAAAGCCTGAAGATGGTGTCACCTTACACACGCCCTCGGTTTGGGTCTGGATAAATCAGACCCTGACTTCAGCAGGTGCCTTAGAGCTCCGAGGTTGGCATTTTAGACTAGCGGATTTGGACTGTAGGCCTTTGCATGGCCACTAGAGGGCAGCAGCAAAGGTATAGAAACTCAATCTCAGTTCCCACCTACTGGTCATCTGGGTATCTGCAGCCTTGGAAGTTGGCTGTGAGGTGCCCTTTAGGGCTCAAAACTTGTTTTTTTTTGTGTGTGTGTGTGTTTCAGTCACTGGCCTCCAGTGTGGAATCGGACATAGGCTCAGACTGTGATGGCAGCCATCAGAATGCGCAGCAGAAGCAAAAACGTCCCCGGTGAGTGTCAGTGGAGCAATTAATTGCTGGATTTCAAGCTATAAATCTCAAAATAGCCTTTAAAACTATGCCTTCTTCCTGGGCATGTTGAGTAACTCTCTCTCTCCCCCCCCTCTCCCTTCCTCTCTCTCTCTCTCCCCTCCCTTTCCCCCTCCCCTTCCTGCTCCCTCCCTCCTCCTGTCCCCCTCCCCCCTCTCCCTCCCGCTCCCTCTCCTCCCTCCCTCTCTTTCCCTCCCTCCCTCCCTCTCCCCCTTCTCTCTCCCTATCTCTCTCTCCACCCTTTCCCCCTCCCCTTCCTCCTTCCTCCCACTCTCTCCTCTCTCCCTCCTCCCTCTCCCCCCTCCCTCCCTCTCCCTCTCTCTCCTCTCTGTCTCTGTGTCTCTCTCCCCTCACATGTACCCCCCTTCAAGTTTATCATTTCTCATAACTACCTGGGAAAAAAATCCTGCAATTTTCTTGGCAAAATTTCAACATTACTTTGCCCTAGGGCTGACAGAGAGGGACTGGCCCAAGGTCACCCAGCTGGCTTGGGGCCAAAGGCAGGTCTAGAACTCCCAGTCTCCTAGTCCCTAGCCTGCTGAATATCTGTAGATAACCTCTACACCAGTGCTGGGATTCCAATTTTTTTTTACTACCGGTTCTGTGGGCATGGCTTGCTGGGCGTGGCAGGGGAAGGATACTGTAAAATCGCCAGTCAGAGGTGGGATTTGCCGGTTCTCCAAACTACTCAAAATTTCTGCTACTGGTTCTCCAGAACTGGTCAGAACCTGCTGAATACCCAGCTCTGCCCTACACCTCTTATCTCTGAGCCCGCAAGTTGTACATTTTGTACCTGTAAAACAGAAATCATCAGTTCTGGCCAGGCTATACCCAATTGTAAACCTGGGTGGGGGGGGGGGGAAACCCACCGTCTCGACTCCAACCAGGTTATGCCAGAAATACCCATCAATGTGGTTGAAGGGAACTATGGTCCAAACAACCTGGATTTCAACCAGTCTAGGAAAGGCTGATCTAGATAAAGTAGTTTGAATGTTCTTTTTGGGGCAGGGGAGAAAAGATAATGTAAATATATCTCATTTCTTACTGCTGTAAATGGCCTCAGTGCAGATTTTCCTTTAGCTTGATAAATGAATGTTTATCTCTCATCTCCTAACAGCTCTGGAATATCTAATGTTAATCCTCCTGATAGAGAAGATCTCTCGGTAATGATTCATTTCACCATACACTACTTTATTTGAGATTGCGACAGTCTCTGTCCACCATTGGACCACCATTCCCCATTGCTAAGAAAAGCCTAATGCCTCCCAGTTCTGCTTTTTTAAAAACAGAAAATTATGCATGCATAGACCTGTTACAGACAATGCATCTACAGCTCTGGGTGCGGGAGAAAAAGTTCTTAATCTTTCACTGCTGCCAATGTGTTAAAAGAACAATCCCAATAACGTGGAAGTATATTAAACGTGTGTGTTTGGGCTTTTCCAATCTGACCTGTGATCCTGGATATTGAAGTATAAACTCTACATACCTTAAGTCGCTTTAGAAAAAACAAAACCAAAGCACTTTGGATACATAACAGAAGCTCTGTACTTGCCCTTGAGTGCTCCAGGAGTAGATAAATGATACATAAATCAAACATTCAAACAAATAAATGTATTTTGGGTTATCATCTTAGTGGCTGCTAACAAAGAGGAAGTAGATAAATTACTAAGTCAATAATTGCTAAGGTAATAAAATCTTACAGATATGAAATGCCATTCTCGTCATCTGATCTTCGTCCAATCCTTGTTACACCTCACAGGCCTGTGGAGAAAAACTAAAGGTTGATCCACAAATGTGTAACTCTTTTTTAATGGCTATGGAGGGTCGGATATTGACCAAATGGCCTCTTGAAAAACCACAAGGATGGAAATTTTAATTCATCTCACAAGGATGGAATCTTCCAGGCCAGAGGTTGGGAACTATGACTTGTGGACTTCAAGAATTGTGGACTTCAACTCTCAGAGCTTGTCTGGCTCAAGAATTCTGGGAGTTGAAGTTCACAAGTCATAAAAGGCAGCGGTGGTGGGATTCAAATAATTTAACAACCGGTTCTCTGCCCTAATGATTTCTTCCAAGAATCAGTTCACCAAACTGCTCAGAAACTTAGCAACCGATTCTCCCAAACTGGCTGAATCCCACCACTGGGCCAAGGTTCCCCATCCCTGGGAATGGTTGTCCCAAAGGCGCTTTTCAAAAGACAGCTGGACTTTCTTGGGTTTTCCTCCTTGAAAATGGTTTCACTTCTCATCCAAGAAGTGAAGAAGCTTCCTGGATGAGAAGCAAAACATTTGCAAGGTGGGGAAAAATGCAAGAAAGTCCAGTTGCCTTTTGAAAAGCGCCTTTGGGTCTCTTTTAATGGGGCTTGGTGCTGGGGATAGATCGGGACAGCAGCAAAACCCAACTTTGGAGTCCTTTTTTCCAAGCTGGTCATATCTTCATACTCATCTCCCCGGCTTCCTCCATCGCTTACCTTTCATGCCTGAATTAGTGCGTAGTCTGACTTTGTTGGGTATATGGATACACCAACTAGTTTGGGTGAATAAATATATAAACCTAAGTTTAAGTGTTTGTAGCTTTAAGCACAAAAACTGCAATGTAATTTGATAATTAAGGGTGCGGTTGCAAGCAGCAGTAATAAGGCAGTGAGAGAGACGTAACACTTCCTGGTTACTGGTTACTGGTCTGGTTCCTGGTGTTACTGGTCGCTGGTCTGCTGGTCTCTCTGATCTCTGCTGCCTGCTGTTTTACTCCTGTATGAGACGTCTGCTTGTTGGCTACTGTGCAAGATACCGTGTCTACTGAACAAAAGGACTGTTAACTTGGTGAGCTGTGCACCCTGCTTGGGGGTTTGTCCCCATACACTAACAGACTTGTCTCCCTGATTCCCCGTATTTCATTTCTGTTTCCTAGAAAGAAGAACAAAAAAAACTTCCTGAGGTTGTGGAGCTCAGGAAATCAGGACCTCCTGTCGCTAAGGTAACCTCACTTTAAACCAGATTTTCCAACTGGGAAACGGGAACCAAGAGATCGCGGTTGGGAACAAGCTGCAATAAAGATATAAAGACAACTGTGTCAGAAACTTTTCGTGTTTCTGAAAGGGCTGGCATTAGTGCCAAGAGACTGTATAATAGTTATGCAGGTGTCCTCGAGTTATGACCACAATGGGGCCCAACATTTCTGTTGCTAAGCGAGACAGCTGTTAAGTGAGATTTGTGCCATTTTATAGCCTTTCTTGCCACAGAGGTTAAGCGAATCGCTGCAGTTAAGTTGGTAACAAGCCTGTGGAATGAATCTGGCCTCCCCATGGACTTTGCTTGTCAGAAGGTCACAAAAGTTGACCCCGGGACACGACAACCATCATAACTGTGAGGCAATTGTCAAGCATCCAAATTTCGCTCCTTTGACCATTGGAATGCTTGCAAATGGTTGCTAAGTATGAAAAACAGTTGTAAGCCAATCTTTTCTGTGCTGTTGTCACTTTGAACGGTCATTAAACAAATCGTTGTAAGTCGAGAACTACCTTTAACCACTGTCTTTGTGACCCCAGACCAATGGCTTTCTAGAAACATTAGACTAGAAGTCCTCAGTCCCTGGTTCATGGACCAACACGGGGCCAGAAAAAGGACCGGGCAAATAAGCCAAGCCCCATCTGTGGGTTGAAGGCCGCACACGAAACCCCCAACCCCTCCAGTCTGTGGAAAAACCTCTCTCCATGGAATCAGTCCCTGGTGCCCCAGAGGTTGTGGGCCACAGCAATAGACCACTGCTGACCACTATGTCAACTCTGAAGCGAACCTGGATGAAGCCATCTTGTGCTGCCTCATAGTTGCCACGAAGCCTGAGCAATCACCCGTTTTATACTAACATGGAGGCTGCATCATCAGCTTCGCCATTCTGAATAGAATAGAATAACAGAGTTGGAAGGGACCTTGGAGGTCTTCTAGTCCAACCCCCCTGCCAAGGCAGGAAGCCCTACACCACTTCAGGCAAATGGTTATCCTACATCTTTTTAAAAACTTCCGGTGTTGGATCATTCACAACTTCTGCAGGGCAAGTTGTTCCACTGATTAATTGCTCTAACTGTCAGGAAATTTCTCCTTAGTTCTGGGTTGCTTCTCTCCTTGATCAGTTTCCACCCGTTGCTTCTTTTCCTGCCCTCAGGTACTTTGGAGAGTAGCTTGGCTTCCTCTTCTTTGTGGGCTTGAGAGGGGGAAGGGAGGGGGGAAGTAAATAGTCCAGCTGCAGTCAAAGCAAAAAAGTTTTCCTGTGGGAACCAAGGTCATCGTAACAGGTGGCTGTTGAAAAAGGAGAGCAGAGCCTGCCTTCCATCTTCATTGGACAATGTGACTGGTGACACTTGGGAAGGGGGAGTTTTAATTAGGTGAAAACTGTGGGAACTGTCAGAGTTGGCTTTCACAGGTGGGCCAATATGATGCATCCCATAAATATTTCCTTTGAGGAAATATCTACCTGCCTCAGAGTTATGTTTTCAATGGGTCCATTACTCGGACTGCCGACACGCTACTCAGATAATTTCCACTACTGCGCTTTTCAAAACCAAAATTATTTTGCAAACCATTGACGGCAATTCACTAAATTAAATCTCCCATCATCCTGTCATGCAGGGCTCATTTGGCCTAGGTCCCATTTCCTCCCAAGGAAGAGATGGCTCCTTCATCTGCATACGGAACCAGGCAATGACTACGTTCTCACAATGTGCAGAACTCCGCCATTCGCACCATATGGTACATTGAACTAAGGAGAGGGGGCTGCCTGTATACAACTCACTCATAAACAAATGAGCCAAGATTTAAAACTTTGCAAACTTGTATAAATGCAGTCACTAGGTCATTAACTGGCTTAGTTAAATGTATTTTGGAAATACACTCCAGTCTACTGATATGATACCAAACCAAATGTTTTTTGGGGTTGTTTTTTTTTAGAGGAATTTCGTTTTTAGAGTGAAAGAAGCTGTACCTCCATCTATCTCCCTTTATTTATATCCAGGGAGAGGAGAGGCTAGGAGAAATTGCTTTTTGTCCAGATTTTTTGCAGAGTGTTGTTGAAAGGAAGCCAAGAGCTCATAGAGCCTCAAGGCAGCAAGATGATGAACAGATAGATTGAGAGAAAGAGAGTGCCCTTAGAAAGCTAGATAGGTTATGAGCTGGCAACATTATGATTCTAATGGGCCAACATTCACTGTAATTTTATTACCTGGTTTGAATGTCCGGTATGTTGAAAGAACCTTTTAAAGGCTACAGATGGTTTCCTGAATGCATCTCATTTTAGAGGAGAGAGTCTGAGATAAGTACTGTCACGCTCAGCCTTCTCCACTTTAGTAGCATCCGGATTCTGGGACTAAAACTCCCCATCATCCACAGCCACGGGTGAGCAGGTGGAAGATGATTATGACATCGAACATGCAAACAAGCTAAATACACTACTAACTTGGGCAGCATCCTGCCCGCACGCTTTTATCTTTCTTGGTGACTTCAATCTACCTCATATTAACTGGACCCTTAACGAATGTACAACTGAACCCACACATGCAACCTTCTACAATGCTGTAGCAAACCTGGGACTAGAACAACTAGTAACCAACAACACTAGACTTACCAACTGCCCCGATCTCATCTTCTGCAATAGTTTGAATTTAATTTATGGAATACAAATTAAAGAACCCTTTTCCAACAGTGACCACAACATGACTGACTTTTGTCTCAACATACGCCCACACAAAAATCATCACAACAGAATCACCAATTATAACTTCAAAAAAGGCAACTATGATCTTATAAACAACGATCTCTCATCCCTTGATTGGCAATTTCTATTCACTGGATAAAATACTGTAGAAGGCCATTAGAACATATTTTTACTTGAAGTCAAAAGAGTCATCAAATTATATGTACAATTAACAACTCCCAAAACCAGAAAAAACAAATTATCTATAACAATAAAGAAACTTCAATCCAAAAAGAAATCACTTTGGCAGAAAAATAAATCTGGTCACGTTGCCAACTTCAAAAGCCAATACAAAAATTTATGCCACCAGATAAAAAGCTGAATGCACCAATTATTACATTAAACAAGAAGAAAACCTTCTATGCACCAATTCCACCCGTGATTTCTACAATTTTGTAAACAACAAACTAAAAGACTCAAGGTCCATCCCACCCCTGATAGGACCTAATGGTACAGACTGCAACGACGACACTATTAAAGCCAACCTCTTTAACACATTCTTTGGCTCAGTATTTGTAAACAGCAATGGATCATGCCCAGTATTTCCCAGTCGAACCACAGCCAACTACAATGATCTAATACATATTGATTTTACAGATGTTGAGAAAGTACTACGCAATCTAAAGCCATCTCTATCTATTGGACCAGATGGAATATGTGCCTACTTCTTAAAAATGCTATCCACAGCCATAGCCCAACCTCTAAGCATAATCTTTGAAAAATCTTTCAGGACCAGCTCCTTGCCAAAACTATGGTCACAAGCCACAGTCATTGCCATCTTCAAAAAGGGAGACCCCAGCCTAGTTGAAAATTACAGACCAATCTCTTTATGCTGCATCACCTGTAAAAGTCATGGAATCAATTATTAACCAATCCATTACACTCCACTTAGAAACAAACAACCTACTCTCTAATAAACAATTTGGTTTCAGGAAAAAACTATCATGTAATCTGCAACTCTTACACTGCAAAGACATATGGACTACACAACTCGATCAGGGCAAAGCAATAGACGCAATCTACATAGACTTCTGTAAAGCCTTTGATTCAGTGGTACACGACAAACTACTCCTAAAACTAAAATCTTACGGTATCTCTGGACACCTGCATAACTGGATAGAAGCATTCCTGTCAAACAGACAACAAATTGTCAAAATTGAGAGCGTCCTATCAAATCCTGTACCTGTCAACAGTCGTGTCCCCTCAGGCAGTGTTCTAGGACCAACTCTCTTCATACTCTACATAAATGACAGGTAGTCAACAATGCATGACCTCCATCTCACCCAAAATATATGTTGCTGAGCGAGACATTTGTCAAGTGCCCCATTTACAACCTTTCTTGCCACCGTTGTTAAGTAAATCATTACAGTTGCTAAGTTAGTAATGTGGTTGTTAAGTGAATCTGGTTTCCCCAGGGAGTTTGCTTGTCAAAAGGGGATCCCCATGATCCCGGGGCACTGCAACCATCATAAATACGAGCATCTGAATTTTGATCATATGACCACGGGGATGCTGTGACGGTCGTAAGGGTGAAAAATGGTCATCATAAGTCACTTTCTTTTGATGAAGTTGTAACTTTGAATGGTCACTAAATTAACTGTTGTATATTGGGGACTACCTGTAATAGGATAAATGTTAATCACATTCTTTGGGCAAAGATCTCTCATCTGTCACCTCTGTTTTACAGTCACTCATGTTTGTTCTCTTTTCAGGCCAACTCCTGAGGAAGCCCAAGAATGGGCAGAATCTTTGGAAAAACTGCTACTACACCCATGTAAGTTTACACAAGTGCTTCACTTTTTTTTTTAATGTTTATTTATTCAAAGTTTCAAAAAGTTTAAAAAAGAGAAACAAGTTCTCACATTTTACAGCGATGTCATAGCAGTGTACATATCCTTTAGTAACAATGGAGTTTATTTACCATAAGTGTGTCTATAACTAATTTACTAATTCCTTACTTGTTATATTACTATTAAAATACAATGCTTATCTACCTACATTACTTTATATATTTGCTGACTTTTTAAAGGGATTGTTTGACACACAGTTTTTATAGATTTCTGGGTGTCTTTTTCACAGACTAGTTTTTCAAAAATTAGAGGGTTAGTCATCCGGAGAAGCTTTGTTGATTCCAGATTGGCTTCTTGGCACCAACGCAGCCCGCTTAATAATAATAATAATAATAACAACAACAACAACAACAACAACAACAACAACAACAACCATTAAGGCTGATTCCCAGAATTCCAACATATAGAGAGCATAGGCAAATACACAAATAACAGGCACTTTCATAACAATTGTCCGGCCCTTGCCAAATGAGTTTATTAATCTTGTTTTCCTCAGAATCTGGCTTTCTCAAAAATCCTGTAGGAACATGGACAGAAGTCCAAATTAATAGAGGAAGACTCTAGCATACAGCAGAGCAGAAAGTCATTGGAGTGGCTAAATTCTGACGAAGCAGTTTATTTGGCAGGATATCCACCTGGCATCCTCTTTGGCTCAAGATTCAGAGACTTCCGTATTCCTAGGAAAAAGGGACAGATGGCCAACAAATATGTGGCTTTATGAATTCCTTGTTTTTTCAGGGATTCAGACGTGAGGTGATCTTTAGTTCTCAGGGATCTGAATGGGCCTGGAAGTGGGGAATGAAGTCATTTAATTGTTCCTGACAGTTAGAACAATTAATGAGTGGAACAACTGGCCTCCAGAAGTTGTAAATCAGAGGTCTCCAATCTTGACAGCTTTAAGACTTGTGGACTTCAACTCCCAGAATTCCACCTCCAGTTACTTTAGCTCAGTAATTCTGGGACCTGAAACCCACATATTATTATCATATTATAATATTAGCCTCTACCTGGGACTCCTTTGTGCTACGTTCTTCACCATTTACAACTTTTTCACCTTCACATTAATATTATTTCTCTAAATTTAGAATTAAGATACACCAAACATCTAAACAATATACAACTCTTCTGGTGACAGTACCATATTAACATTACATAGCTAAATATTTTCTATAACAAAAAAAGTGGGGTAGATTTTCAGTAGATTGTTTGCTCTGTTCCTCTCCACGTTAATAGATGGTCGAGCTGCCTTCCATGCTTTTTTGAAATCAGAATTCAGTGAAGAGAACCTGGACTTCTGGTTGGCCTGTGAAGATTATCGTAAACTCCGGGGATGTGACAAACTCCAGGAAAGTGCAAAAAAGATTTTTGACCAATATATCACCATACAAGCTCCAAAAGAGGTAGGGGAATATTAAAGTTTCCTTTGAATTTGTGAAATGGGATGGATTTGTTAGAGAAAACCATTATTCCATGTCTCGCATTTATCAATACACATATGTTGCAGCAGAGTTCATAACAGAACAACAGAGTTGGAAAGAACTTTGGAGATCTTCTAGTCCTCAAGCAGACACCCTATACCCGTGATGGCGAACCTATGGCACATGTGCCATAGGTGGCAAGCAGGCACTCCCGCTGATTTTTGACCCGTTTGAGGCAGTTTTTGCCCTCCCAAAGGCTCGAGAGAAGCCTCTGCAGCCTCGGGAGGCCAAAAAATCAACCCATTTTGGCACTTCCGGTAATGGGCCTGTTTTTATGGCCTCCAAAGCCTGCAGAGGCTTCCCTCAAGCCCCCAGGAGGGCAAAAACGGGCTCCCCCAGGCTCCAGAGGCCCTCTGGAGGCTGAAAATGGGCACTTCCAGTATTTCCGGAAGTTGGGCCTCCCAAGGCTGCAGAGCCTCCGGAAAGCAAAAAAAAGGCCTCAAACGGGCCAAAAAATCAGCTGGGAGGCGCGTGCGTGCACAGTGCAGGTAAGGGGGTGTTGCACGCACATGTGCAGGGGGGGCGTATTGTATTGTGGGTGCTGGCTCATGCACACTTTTGGCACACCACAACAAAAAGGTTCGCCATTACTGCCCTATACCATTCCAGACAAGTGGCTGTCCAGTCTCTTCTTAAAAACCTCCAATGATGAAGCGCCCACAACTTCTGAAGAGAAGCAATTCCACTGGTTAATTGTTCTCACTGTCAGTAAGTTTCTCCTTCGTTCTAAGTTGCTTCTCTCCTTGATTGGTTTCCACCCACTGTTTCCTGTCCTGCTTTCTGATGCTTTGGAAAATAAATTGACCCCCTCCTCTTTGTGGCAGCCTCTCAAATACTGGAACACTGCTATCACGTCACCCCTGGTCCTTCTTTTCTCTAGACTAGACAAACCCAGTTTCTGCCACTGTTCTTCGCACGTTTTAGCCTCCAGTCCCCTAATCATCTTTGCTGCTCCTTTCTGCATGCCCGCATAAGTATTACCTCATATATAGGCGTCACAAATCTTTGCATTCATCATTTGAACAGATTTTTTTTCTTATTCTTTTCTTAGAAAGGTGCTTTTCTTTTAGAGAAAGAGGTGTGTCTGTATCAGGCCAAATACCAGACAGGATGAATCTATCTATCTATAGGGGTGGCTTCGGAGGTTGTGGAGGAGGCTGGGGAAGGGCAGAGGCCAGCTGGGCAGTCAGAGGAGAACCCAGGCCCATCCCCTCTCCATCCTAGGGCACGCAGGGAGGAGAGGATAAGGGAGAGACATGATCTACTCAAAGGAGAGGGCCTTGATCCTCTTCATGGGCTGCAGCTGTGACAACTGAATAAAAGTTTGGACCTGCGTACTGGCAAACTCTGGAAACAAAGCGTGTAAATATCTCTAGTTTATACTTCCTCTCTTGAGTTTGTGTGTTATCTGTGGAGATCTTCCAGCCCTTATCTTGCCTGGTTTGTGTTTCTTTTTTTCCTTCTTCGTGTAACTGTTTGTGTGGGAGTGTTTTTTGTCTTCCGTCAAGGATATTTGGAGCCTTGGAAGCAAAGTGAAGGAATAAAAGGGGCTTCACCTGTTTTCTGTGACTGTGTTTGTTTTGTATCCCACCCTGCGTCATCACCGTTGCAGCCATTTTGTATGGTGTAGATAATCCTTTGCATTTAATTGCAGGTGAACCTTGATTCCCAGACCAGAGATGTCACCAATCGGAACATTTTGCTCCCCACCCGGTCTTGCTTTGACCAAGCCCAGAAGAGGATCTTCGGGTTGATGGAGAAAGACTCTTACCCTCGCTTCCTCCGCTCTGTTGTCTATCAAGATCTGGTACAGCCTGAAAAAGAGCAGCCGAATGGCCCCTTGTAAACCTGCCGCGTTTGCCCTTCCTCTTCTTTTGAAGCCAACCTAACAAAGGAGGCGCCTGGAGGCGGCTTTGCTGTTCAGGAGATGGACAAACCCAAGGACTATTTGGAAGAAATGGACTGCTGTTTGTCCTATTTTGTCAAGATGGCAGACGTGCTCCGTTCCTAAACATTAGGGTGGATAAGAGAGATGATAGAGGGTTGGATTCTTGCTCAATGGGCAGGGTTAAGAGGGATCCTTGGTGCTCTCTTGAGCTGGCTCGTTTTCTTGCAGACGTTTCATTACCCAAACTAGGTAACATCATCAGTGCTAGTACAAGTAGCTTTTGGGGGTCTTCAGTCAAATATTAGAATTCTAGAAGGACAGGCGGAATTGTGCTGTTTTGAAACGAACGAAAGCAACTTTTATGCCAGGGCTTATAAAGCTGGCTGCTGGGAAGGTATTGCTCAGGTTGGAAAATGAAATGGTTGGTTTGCCCAGTCTATTTATAAGTCTGTTTCAGCTTGGGACTACTCTGACGGGCAGAATTTCTCCAAGGTCTTAGAGAAGTGTGTTTTCCGTTTGTGATAGAAATAATTTTGAGATTGAAGTTGGGACCTTCATGTATTTGTCATCCTCAATGTGTGAAATTAGGCATTTTCTAGACAGCCTAGGACAGGGCCTCCAACCTGTAGGCTGCAGCCCCACGAATGGGCTGTGAGGGGGTTGTACCCAGGCTGTGGAAACGGCCAACACACGCACACTCCATTTTAAGTGTGTGCCAAGTGTGCATGCACACCGCTCACACAAATGGAACTGCTCACACGCACTTGTCGGCAGCTTGCACGGAAAACATCCTCCCTTCCCCTCCCTCCTGCCGGTCCGCACAGCCGAAAACATTGGGGAACTCTGCCCTAGGAAATGTAGAGAAAGCCAAAAATGGGACGTTGAAGCATGAAACGCTTCATATTTCACAGATTTCCGAGGCACTCTACACCAGTGGCCCCCAACCTTTTTTGTGCCACGGCCCGGTACCGGCATCACAAAATGATCCGCGGCCCGGTACCGGCATCAGCACGCATGACAAGGCAAGCCGAGCCGAGCCGAGCCGAGCGACCAGCCAGCCAGCCATCCCCCGCTTCTCCCTGCCACCTTCAACTCCTCCTTTGTACCTTTGTCGATGGGCTTCACTTCGGGATGGCTTCGGGACGGTCGCTCGGCTCGCCTTGCCTTGGGTGCTGAAAGAATCCTCGCGCCTTAGTTTCGTTCAAAGCCCCCCCCTTCAATGAAACTAAGGCGCGAGGATTCCTTCAGGACCCAAACGCCACTTTCCAACCGGCAAAGCTCACCTGGAAGCACTTTCTCGTCAAACAAGATGGCGGCGCCCAGCAAACTGGCGGCCCGGTAGGAAATGTTCCATGGACCGGTACCGGTCCACGGCCCGGTAGTTGGGGACCCCTGCTCTACATCATGCCAAAAGGCAAACAGGCAAAGTATAAAATGCTCCCACTGAAAAGCCATTCTAGCCTCCCCTTATTGCAACAAGTAGGTCAGTGATGGTGTTTATTTCTTGTTTATTTTTTCCAGTAGGAAAGTCCTGCACTTTGCATTGCATTTCTTCTTTCATTTTCATATATGTCTTTTCAGTAAAGGGTTAGTTTAAGGTTAAGTATGAAAAGAGAGCCATGAAAAGGGTTAACCTAACCCTTTTCGTGACTCTTTTTTCATACTTTGCCTAAATAGTTCTTGTCACTCTGCATAATGCCTAGGTATTATATATAATGCCTGGGGAATTTATACAGGTAAGTCCTTGACTTACAACAGTTCATTTAGTGGCCGTTTGAAGTTACAACGGCAGTGAAAAAAAGTAACTTGCGACAGTTATTCACACTTACGACTGTTGATCAAAATTCAGATGCTCGGGAACTGGTTCATATTTATGACCGGGGTCATGCGATCCCCTTTGGCAGCCTTCTGACAAGCAAAGTCAATGGGGAAGCTAGATTTGCTTAACAACCATCTTACTAACTTAATGACTGCAGTGATTCACTTAACAGCTGTGGCAAGAAAGGTCGTAAAATGAGGCAAAATTCGCCTCATAATTGTCTCGACAACAGAAATGTTGGGGTCCATTTTGGTCACAAGTAGAGGACTGCCCGAATAGAATATTTAAAGTAACACAGACATTTCATAGTTTGCCTGAAAACGTCATATATTCTATAGATTTCCTCAGCATTCTATACGATGCCGACTCTTCACACATTGCCGGCAACATCTTCCCAAGGAAACTCTGCCTCCGTTCCCTCCCCAAGTTCCTACTGTGCCCCTGTGGAATCCGGCGGGGTGTCTGGCATTGACCATCAACCCTTCTTCAAGGAGAAATTGTAAACATATCCTAGGAATACAGTTCATGATTCTTTTAAATTTCCAGGTGAATAAAAGCTGGAAGCACGACTCCGTAGCTGTCAAGTTTCTCGTAGCTGGGCGAGACCAAAGAATTAAAAATGATTCAGTAAAGTCTCTTTATTTGTTTGGAGTAGATATAGAACCTTGGAAAGTGTGTTAGGAATTTTCCAGCCTCGTTTATTATCAGTCACTTTGAAGACGCTTTTTCCTCACATTTCTCCTCACCTGGACTGAGTTGCCCAATGATGGGATAAGGTTTCAACTGACTCACCCGTCAAAATCTTCCACTGCTTCCTCAGCCTTTACACAATCTCTCACCGTGGTTTGTGGTCAGTCTTTCTACATGCATTTGGGCCTCAGAAGCTTCCTGAAGCACCAAACGGAACAAAAAGGATGGAGGCCTTCCAGTGTGGGAGCTTAACCTATCTTGAAGAAGATCTGAGATTGTCGTTCGCTTCTTTTGAGGTTCCTCAAGTCAGGCCACCTTCTTCTCTTTCCAAGATGAGCTACACTTGCTGGTTTACCAATTCATGCCTCGTTTTCCCTGTCAGACATAAATGAATAGTGTTCCGCCATTTCAGCTAAGCAGAAAAAAACATTTGCTTCTCTGTTCATAAAGAATTACTGCAGCAACAGCTGAAACAGCAGTGATATTTCTTCTCTGAAATACTTTACTGCCTTCCAGTAGCATCTAACCACGTGCCGAGGACTAATTCCATGTTTCGCCAAAAAGAAGGGCGGGTCTTATTTTCTCTTGACCCATAAAAAAAAACAGCTAGGCCTTCTTTTTGGAGGGTTCTAATTCAGTGGTGGGGTTCAAATTTTTTTACTACCGGTTCTGTGGGAGTGGCTTCGTGGGCGTGGCAAGGCAAGGATAATGTAAACTCTCCAGTCAGAGGTGGTATTTGACGGTTCCCTGAACTACTCAAAATTTCCGCTGCCGGTTCTCCAGAACTGGTCAGAACCTGCTGAATATCATCCTCTGTTCTAATTATTGACTCATCTCACAGCACTGGCACTGTCAGCCTCACCCAGCAGGAGCCCACTGCTGGCCCACTTCGGCCGCTTACTGCGATTCACACACATCGCCCCAGCCTCCATTTTGCCTTCAGATGCCTTCCGGAAAGCCCTCTGCAGCCGATAACAGAGCTCCAGAGCTCTATTATCAGCTGCAGAGGGCTTTCCGGAAGGCATCTGAAGGCAAAATGGAGGCCAGGGTGATGCATGCGAGTGGAGGCAAGAAGTGGCCACAGAAGAAGGCGTGGCAGGTATCAAGATGTGCAAGGCCTGATAAGTACGGCAGTTCCACCCCCCACATCCCCACCCTAGCTTATTTTTTACCTGTATGCCCACAAAATTAGGGCTAATTTTGTGGTTGGGGCTTAATTTGATCACATGCGCTCAAAAACATGATAGGGCTTCTTTTCAAAGTGGGTCTTCTTTTTTGGAGAAACATGATAGTTTTTGAGCTGTATTCCGTTGCCACCCGGATGAATAAGTTCAAACACAGTAATTGGCAGGAAGGTTAGAGTCTGGGGTGGGCCAAATTTAGCAGGTCTACTAAATTTAGTAATCTACTGAGCCAGCTTGAGCAGGATAAGCAAGCACAGTAATGATGAACCTCATCCATTGGTAGAGAATTGGATTAAAGTGCGTCATCAGCCTTCCCAGATAAGGCCACACCGGAAACAACTGGATGAGCTATTTATTGCAAAGCTCCATTAACAGAATCTTGCAAGTGTGAAAATACACATATCTAGCCCTCTCCTTCACAGTCTGAGAAGTTAGGACGGGTCCTTCCTGAGCCTCTTTCTCTGTCCATTATGCAGCTGCTGGTTATGGCCTCTCTTATCTGGCCCTTTCTCTAAGCAGCATCTCTTCCTCCCACTCCATTTCCCAAGGCCTTTCTCATGCACCGTTACAGACCTTTAAAAATTACTTTCCAATACAATGGTAATGTTCACTTTGGCTTTAAGTCCAAGATGCTAGCTTACTCAAATGAGCTCAGAGATGGCTGAAGGGAAAATTCCATGAAGGTTAAGTCAGTCAGGAAGCTAAGTGAACCGGCGGCCTCTTAAATAATCATTGGACACTCCAGGAAAGGCCTGGTTTTCTCCAGATACAACCGATTCCAATGCCACCTCACGATCCAGTTGAATAAGGGCCATTCCAGCCCAATCTACATTTGAGTACGGTCCTGCAATGGTCAACATCCAGGTTTGCAATGAACTCAGTTACAGAAGTAAACTCTGCTAAAGTTTATTTTTGCCAAAGTGGTGGGCTTTTAGAAATGTCACTTGCTGCTATACTTATTAAAGTAGCTATTTTAATGTGAGCATCATTACTCAAGAAAACCAATAGTGGGTGATGAGTGCCCTCTTATTTTGCTTTCAATCATAGATGATGCCTTGTGGCCTATTCCCAACCTAGTAGCCTATTCCCCAACCTGCCTGCCAGATATATTGAGCTGTTGTGTCCTGCTAGTGGCCAGTGGAGCTGGCAGCAGATTCTGACAGTGAGGAGGTTGGGGAAACACATGGGCCAGTCCTGGAGTCTAGGGTCTGGGCAAGGCTCTGACAACTGCTCTGCATCGGAGGCAGAGATGGGGCCAGGGCCATCTGACAGCTATCAGCTGCCTTCAGAGTTGGACATCAGTGAGGCAGAAGAACAGCTAGAGCCTGTTCCCAGTGTGTGCATGCACAGAGCTGCTAGAAGAAGGGAACAGCTGAGGAACAAGGGTTGACTTGGGAGTAAAGCCACAAGTGGACAGTGAATGGCCCCTCCCGTAGGGAATAAAAGAGGAGCGAAAGGGGAGTGGGGTTTTGCAGGAGACAATTAGTTCATTTGGGTGAAGATCTGTAAACTGCTTAATGAGGGCTGTAGAACACTGTGAAGCGGTGTATAAGTCCAACTGCTATTGCTATTGCTAAATATTGCTATTGCTATTATTAAATATCAGGGAAACTAATCTGGAATTAATCCAACAAGCCACAAATGCTCTGTGGGTGTGTTGGGGGGATCCTTCCTAATGCTAAAAAAGATTCAACCCACGCATATGGATCAATTCCCTTCTCTTTGGGCAATATCTCAGAAGCATTTGCAGTGTTTCCTGTTTGCTTGCTTGTTTGTTTCTACACAAGAACAGGAGCCCATGATGTTCAGTAAGAAGGGTAAATGTCTTTTGAGCATTTCATATACTCCTTGGGAGTAAGAACAAAGTAGGGGCAGTGGAGATGTTGTTGGTAGAGGAGCAGCTATTCCTGTATCCCACGTCACATTCCTGGAAGCTTAAGAATTATAAAGTAACCCTTAGTTTAGATTTGAATGATATGTGGGCTGTGGTTAAGGTGAGCTGATCAAACTCAAAGCCATAATTACACATGGTAATTGTAGCAGTCTGCTTGACCATGTTCCTTTTCCAGGTGTCATGCCAAGCCATTGCCACAATAGAACTTAGGATAGCAATTGAGCTGTGAGAATCTAGCTTGTCCAACAAACTACCCAAAACAATGATTTAGCATTGTTTTGGCTAGTTTGGCTAGCTATTTTCATAAACCATGAAAATAGATACTTGCTTAAGGATGGGG